AGAGGAGAGAAGAGAGGAGAGGGAAGACAGACGATGACGGTGTGCGTGACCCCGAATATTGTTAGCACGAGCGTTGATAATCAATCGGACAGGGAGAAGAGGTGGGAGGCGAGGAGAGAAGGGAGGGGAGGGAGAAGCGGAACTCCGTCGTCAGACCCTTGTCATCGTGTTCAGTGTGTTCAGTGTGTTCAGTGTGTTCAGTGTGTTCAGTGTGTTCAGTTTGTTCAGGTTCTACCAGCCGCAACAAATAGAGAGGAGCAAAGGGGGAGAGAGAGAGAATATGATGAAGAGCACCTCGAAGCAGCACTGCTGTCGAACGGAGGAAACGTGAAAACCGGGGAATGCGACTTCACGGCGAAGCTGGCTAGGTACATCCGCCACCATGACTAGGGACGACGGATGCATCTTCCCAGCATCGCATTTTCACGTTTGCCTTCACGACGACCGGTAGCTACCTGTGCGGTTACCGACCATCTTTCCCCCATCGAGCTTACGGTGATTTGAGATGCATTTGGCGGAACTTTCACTCTAGATACATTCAAGGTAGACTAAATGACCGTACGTTCAATTCGGGGGAAGAGGAGGGGCGTTATGTCCATGAAGGACTGAGCAGAAGATAGGCGGCGATCATCAGGAGGAAAGGATAGGAAAGGAGGAGGAACGTCGGGCGGAGGGAGGGAGGGAAGCGGGGAGGGAGAGGAGATGACGTATGAGAGAAGGGAGAAGAGGAAGACGGGGAGAAGAGGAGGGAGGAGAAGAGAGAAGGGAGGGAGAAGAGAGAGGGAGGGAGTAAACGAGTGGAAAACCTGAAGAGGGAACGGCTGACAAGAAGGAAGAGCGTCAGAAGACGAGGGAAGAAGCTGAGCGGAAGGGAGGTGAGAGGGAGGAGAGAAGGTGGAGGAGAAGGCAGGGTTAGGTGAGGCTGGGAGAGAGGAGCGAGATGCGACTGTTGGGATGCAGAGTTACACACAGCGAGAAGGATCAGAAGAAGGCGGCACGGACACAGTAAGATCTGCGGAGAGAAGAAGGCGGCACGGACACAGTAAGATCTGCGGAGAGGCTAAGTGTCAGGTAGAGCGAAGGATGGACAGAGGGAGAGGGA